ACCGACAATGCTGCCCCTCCCATGGCGCCAGGGGGGGGGGGGCTACGTGGACATCCCACCAATCCTTGGACCAGAGCGGGTTGATGCTCAGTTACCGTGCCGTATCCAAGGTTCCCCGTGGGGCTTATAAATCAGTAAGAGAAGAACATCAAAAACACTGACTCGCTCAACTGCAGAGAACCATCCGAAATCAATGCTGGTAATTGGTCGCTTGTTAACCCCTACTGGGCTAAATTATCACTAGCGATGGTTGAACCTGGAGGTGTTACCAGTGGCAGCCAAGTCATGTCTAGACAATGAAGGCGGCAAGGCATGCGGGAATAGAACTCAATTCTAGACTTCAGACAAATACAAAAAGAATAAAAAAGGATAAAGACACTCGTATACAAAAATAACGTATCTTCTATATCCATAGAAAACATGCAAAATGATCCAAGTATGGAGTCTAAAATGATATATAAAAACACTATTATTAGGTCATCCTCAACATAGCCACATATAAAGAGATGGATGGCTGTTCTAAAGTCTACAGGGCATCTACAGGTGAAACTCGATTAGAATATGGTGCAAAGTTCATTTATTTCACTAATGCAACTTATGCGGTGAAACTAATATATGAGAGAGACTCATTACATGCAAAGCAAGATAATTCAAGCCGTGATTTGTCATCATTGTGATGATTATGGCTTACAGCTCATGAAAACCCCAAGAACCCCAAATCCACAACCTTAAGAAAGTAGAATATTACATGCAATCAATAACACAAGGATTGTACATAGAACAATATCGGACCTCTGAAAAGTACAAGCATGTATATGTACTCAGTACTTGGTTTGGGCCCCTTTTGCAGCAATTACTGCAATTACTTTTGCACGATATTCTAATTATTCGAGTTTCACCTGTATACTCGCATGTCATGATACATCGATAGGCCTTGCACCTGTAATACACTGGACGTATATGCTGGTGTTCTAATAGACTCTCCTTCTATAAAGCAGTCCGAACCCACAGCTGACCCACCTAGGTGGGGGGGTTGGCGTAAATTCACAATAAGACCCCACTAGAGTCCAGAACCACAACTAACATACCTTGGGGGACCTCAAGAACTCACAATAAGATTCAATTGGAGTCTGAATGCACTCCCATAAATGACGCACCTATGTGTAGCACCCCAAAGATCACACTGACGTCTGAACCCACAGAGATGGGGATTTCCACAAACTCACAATGAGAACAGACTAGAGTCCTGAGCCACAACTTAAGAATTCACAATAAGTGGAGTCTGAACGCACAGCTTATCGATTATTGAAAAAGTTGACAACTTTTTCAATAATCGATTATAATCGATTATGTCGATTAGTTGTTGCAGCCCTAAAGTACATAGATGGGGATCTCCACAAATTCACAAGAATACCACACTAGAGTCCTGACACACAACTAAAGATACCTTGGTGGAACACAGAGATTCACAATAAGAACCCACTGGACCCATGACCCCCGGCTGAAACACCTAGGCATGACAATTTGACAATGAGCCCCCACTGAAGCACATGAAGAGCCATCATGACTCATCGGGACTCTCTTTCATTGGATGGGGGACCTAGAACATTTAAAATAAGACCCATACTGGACTCCTGACCCACAGCTGACATACCTAGGTGTGGGACCCCAGAAATTCACGGTAAGTCACTGGAGTCCTAACCCACAGCTAAATAGATGGGGATCCCCAAAAAGTCACAATGAAAGCCACAGTGGTATCTGAACCCAAAGCTACATAGATGGAGGTCTCCCAAGATCCACAAGACCACACTAGAGTCCTGACACACAACTAACTTACGGTGGGGGACCCTGAAAATGCACAAGAAGATCCCACTGCAGTCCTGGGCCTAATCTATGAAAAGGGAACCACAAAAATTCACAATAAGGCCCCACTGGGCGCCTGACACACAACTGAGGCACCTACATGCAATATTACTAGGAAACCTAGACAACTTCGCCAGGGCACAAAGTGCGTTAAGTCTGGAAAGCCATTTTCCATTTGCCAAGTGCTGGGCCACAGGGGTGTTGAATTCGTATCGTCCGACGCCCGGGACATGTAGTTCCTGAGAGCGGGGAGCGGGGACGGAGCAGTGACAAAGCCGGACGGTGGAGCAGGCTCTGTCACCTCCCTCAGCCTCTGTCCCCGGGGCCCGCTGCTCGTTCCTGTCACAGGAGTTCTAGCACAATAAACATTTTACAAAGTAAATACAAACTGAAAAAATGAAAACCAGCCCCGCTGCCCCCATCTGCATGCGAATAAACGCTCAGGTGTTTTCAACTGCGATCGTGTGCAACCGCACGGGCAGGGCGGTATTGCAGCAGGAAAACGCGCAATCTGCCTGGAACGACTGGGGCGCCATCAGAAAACAATGGCACTGCCAGCGCGATCGGCAGTGGTGTGCGATCCGTGATCGTGGCCGAAGCTACATACAGTGTACCATATCCTTCCGTATGTACCCGGCGTATAAGACGACCCCCGATTTTTGGGGGATGTTTTAAGGTTTCAAAACCCGTCTTATACGCCGGCGAATACGGTAGATTGTCACGAGGGACAAGTAGATTCGGCCCCCCGCTTTAGTCCTTGGACAAGTAGTTTTTTTCAAAAATGTCCACACCCCCCTGGGCCACGTTACACATTTTCTTACCTGCATCCACAGTTCTCCCGGGCCAGTCACCGCCGAGCGCCCCACTTCCACGAAGAAATAGTTGTCGGAATGGCCACAGCGTCGGACATTCATGAGCTGAAGGGTGACGGAGGGGTTGTCGCAGCGGAGGCGCAGGAGGCCGAGCGTGCGGTCCGTCAGACACAGGCGGTAGGTTCCTGAGAGGTTGCGGGTCTGGCCGAGTCCGCGGGGGCGTACGCTCACCTGCCACACTTCCCTGAATGGCGGAGCAGGCAAAGCCGAGGCGTCAGTGGAGGTGGACAGAGAACGAGCTGGAAGGAAGGAAGGAAGGAAGGAGAGGGACATTAGGTGAGGATTTACTTTTCTTGGAAACAATGATTCACAATACAAAAAGAAGAAGATCAGTCTTTCCTTCAGTCTTTCCTTTCACTTCCTGTCCCGGAGACCCAACAGGAAGGGAGAGGACAACTCTCCAGTGTGAGGGGGAAATTCCCTTTTGCCAATCTGCATGATTTCCCCTCACTTCCTGTCCCAGAGACCCAACAGGAAGGGAGAGGACAATTCTCCAGTGTGAGGGGGAAATCCCCTTTTTCCAATCTGCATGATTTCCCTCACTTCCTGTCCCAGAGACTCAACAGGAAGGGAGAGGACAACTCTCCAGTGTGAGGGGGAAATCCCCTTTTGCCAATTTGCATGATTTCCCCTCACTTCCTGTTCTGGTGACCCAACAGGAGGGGGGAGAGGACAACTCTCCAGTGTGAGGGGGAAATCCCCTTTTGCCAATCTGCATGATTTCCCCTCGCTTCCTGTTCTGGTGACCACTCTAAACTTTTTTTTTTTTTAAGTGATAATGGTGACCAGGACAAAAAGACGGGGGAGCCTCACAGACCTCATATCAAGGGCAAAGACGCACAGGGCCGAGGATAGCGTTCCCACTTATACTTTTCACAACAGAAATTGTTGTCAGCACTTTATCCTCCCCAGTCATAAAAAAAAAAAAGGGCGCAAAACATATAATCAAAGAACAAAAACAAAACAAAAATAACTCTAGACGTGCTATAAAAAGTTACAAAATATCAGCGCCTGCAAAAGAAAGTAGTGTTGGCATCCACAAGATCTTTTAACCACCGGGGGG